GCAGGAATGTGAATGCCTGGGAAGAGTTGTTTTGAAATCCAGATTTTCAGTGCCTCCTGGAACACCCCACCACTACCACCCTGCATACTGTTTTTTGGAAAACTGAAGCGTGAAAGAGAAGGAAAGCAACTAAACACCAAACGTGTACTGCACAGAAGCAAAAGAGGCAGGAGGCGTCAAAGTGCATCTTGAATAGGCTGCGAAACAGGATTTCTTCATCACTGTGAATATACCTCCAGAAACCATCCTAACTGAGCAGCAGTTTCACATTGCCACCCTCCTATTCTTGAGGATGAAGAAGAGCAGCCAGATAAAGACAATGACAAAGGAGGAAATACAAGTCACCACATCCTTCCAAAAAGCTACTGGAGGCAAAAGAAAGTCCAGAGGGGTGGGGTGAAACATTCATTCATTCTCCCTTCTCTTTACGGGAAGGGCTGCTGAGAAATTCTTCTCCTCCTAATTTTGCCTCCCATTTGCTGCAAGGTCTGGAAAAGGATGTCTGGTTATTGTTAACAGATTCATCTGGCCACACAGCAGCATTTCTGCTGCTTTTAAAGCAACTTAGAGTTCTATCTATCCACCAGCTGCCATCATGACTGTATGCATAGAAGAACGTGACAGAATTGTTCCTGAGTGTAAGATTCAACTCATCTAACTTCAGCCATCCAAAATTTAGGTATATAGACTGAGCTAGCTACCCGGGCTTGATAAAGAGCAGTCGGACATCCCAAAGCCTTGCTAGGGTTATCGAATATTCTCCTTTGACTGTGTAAGGACAGCAGAGGTTGGTCTGAAATTCATCTAAAACTGGCCAGGATGAATCCCCAGTTATTGACAGAAACTTGATATTTCTCTGGGAAAACTAACCTTTCCCACAGAAAACTTGTATTTGGACAAAATTCTCACTCAGGCTTACTAATTGATTTCTTTTTAAAAATGTTACGGTGTTAAATACTGAGGGTTACTCTACTCTTCTCTCCAAAAGATCATATAAATAGTGAAGCACTTACGTGTCTTACAGGGAGGGTTACTTTCACTTTATGTCCAACAGGGAGAAATTTCAGTGGCACTGTTAAGGTGTCACTTAAATTGCTATTGTCATCTTCCTTATCAGAAACTTTCTACAGAGAACAGAAAACATGGGGTTTTATTCACAGATGAGAAACAATCCAGTTCTTTACTGATTTGGTGACGCTGGCAACAAGCGAGCAGTGTGAACAGCGGTATTGCATCGTGCCCGTTACCTGCAGCCTGACTTTTAGAACTGGCTCCCAAGCCTTCATGCAGTGGAAGTAGAAAGTATCTGTGTCCTCCGTAGTTTTCTGTGTTCCCTCATGAGATGCAGGCACCGTAAGCACGAGATTTTTACCCTCTAGTGAAAAAAGATTTGTTTAGAGAATAATAGCACTGTTCAGGCAAAATAGCTAACAAAGCTGGCAAACTTTCTGCTGGAGTCATTCTCCGTGGTAACTCCTCCGCAAGCTGCCATACTGACACATCTCCTACAGCACAGGAACTGGTACTCCTGCCTTTACCCCAGAGCGTGGAGTGCTCCCAGACTCAGCACTCTCTCATACTTCCACCAGCAAAGTTTACTGTGTCCAAACTTGACAGCTTCAAGGAAAAGACACAGAGATCAGCGTTGCAACTGGAGGCAGTTCAGAGACTTTCACTGCATTGCATTTTATTGTCTTCAGAACATTCTTAGTCGCCTCTGTATCCTAAAGTGCCTTCATCTGTGTCTGAATGACTATGATAGGGTTGATTTGGTCATGTCCTCACTTCACAGAGAAACTGGCATACCTTTCAAATATTTCCTGCTTTCATTAATGTCCACTTGCACTTCCAAGCAGCAAACCTCACGGGACTGTAAAAGATAGGAGTGGAAAAGCGTGAAGATAGCAAATGTCACATCTGCGGCAAATAATGAAACACCGTGCAGACAACCACTACCTATAATACAGAGCCAACTAAACTGGTCTCAGTGCTGGAAGCAATCCAGCTGCACAAAAGTAAATTCAGAGCTCGTTATCCCAGGACAGTAGCCCAGTTACACTGCTTCAGAACTAGCTTGTCCATACAGTGGTGCATTGCCAGTGGTTGTTATACCCATTCAAATTGTCCCAAAATCAGAAAACTCTGTATAACACACTGTTGCCCAAACAGCTACGCATATATCTGATAATTATTTAGGAAGGGTGGGGGAAAACACTTGATGATGAATTTCTGTGTATTGTGGCAGTGATTAGTCTACAAGGCATCTTCTTGCTGGTCCTGATGTAGGGAGACCATGGTTTTATTCCACCTTACCCTCCACCTGCGTCATTGCAATTCACCTTTAATAACTCGTGCCAGGACAGTTTTCCAAGCCATTTCAGGAACAACGCATGCCAGTCATTGCAGCTCTTATGCCTCACAGAGAAAATGAGGGGGAAATACCACAATATGTGTTACTTTGCCTCAGGGGTATCAAAGGCTAGCATCTGGAAATCATGCGCCGGCTTGGAGTGGTTGGCACGAAGTACTTTGTACTCCTTAGCTGCTGGGCCAGCCCAAGGAGATAGGTAATGTACCACACGCTGACTAATACCAAAGGAGGACTCTATGTTTCAATGACTAAAATAACTCTTTATTAAAAAACTCATTTCCCAAAAAGCTGTTACATTAGATAACCTTCCAGTCATAAGTACACTGAATACTTACTATTGCCTTCTACAGGCTCAGCCCTTTCATAACCTTTGTTTTTCCTGCCGAGTGCCATACTGCATTACATGAAACACAAGCAGTTTCCACTATGAACACCAACAAATATGGGGTTCGGCAACATTAACAAACCATAGCTGGGCAAAATATTGACATCCGTAATACCAGAGGACTTCATGAAACACAGCTTCTATTTTTGCATGGAGAAGGCAACAGTTAAGCCATAACAAATGGGAATCATCCCACATCTTTCACATCATAATGCACACTGTGCTCTTATCTATCATGGTAGCTTCTGCTCTCTCTATAAAATGTCAGATGGCTGGGGGGAAGAGGAGACAATCAAAAGGAAGGAAAAGTCACTCCAAGCTAAATTCATATGTGAACCTTACCACTAGGACGTCATTGGTAATGAGGTGCTCTGGAGGGCCAGGACTGAAAAGACAGAATCAAAAAACAAAAAACCAAAAGCTGCATGAGTATCTGGTATTTTTAAAAATTAGTAGGTTTATGACCTTTCCTGCTTAAAATTGAATATAGTTATGTTAGTATCACAATTTGCTTTCTAAAAGGTGTAATACATGATCACCTACAAAGAACATTAACCGAAATGCAGTTGCCAAATAAGAAGAAAGGCAGGGGAACCCATAAAAATACCAATGCTTAAAACTATGTGCTAAGATACAGCAGAACAAAGACATAGTGGCCTATGAGGGATCATGTCATGCTATTAATAAATGACCACATAACTCAGGGAAAGCAAAGACTACTATTAATGTATTCTGCAAATACTTATTAGGAAAAATATTTCTGGCTGTTCCAGATTATAGTTTACAACTGATCACAAACGAACGGCAAATAAGAATTAGCTCCCACTGTGCTATACGTATGACTGGAAAACAAAGAGGTAAGTAATAGAAAGTCTTTGTCCCAGAATTCTTTACCTTGTACGACCTATGTCTGTCACTGAATGGATGTAGTTATTTAAAACTATAAGTAACCTATAGAGCCTACTAACAGCACCTCTCATTAAGGCCAACACTCCAACATCACTATGTTACACACAGTCATAAGTGCTTTCATATACCTGAAAGGACCATTAAAGTTAGGTTGTATGTAATCTTTCACTTTCTGCGAAGTCCGGGGTATTTTACCAAGCACACTTACAGCCTTGAAATGTCTGTTTCAGCTGTAGAATATATTTAAATGTAAATAACTAGGTTTGACTTCCAAGGATGGAGAATCCACCACACTGCCTTATAACCTCAATGGTGGAAGAAGTTCCTCTTATTTCTAGTCTGAATCTATTCAGTCCACTTTCCAAACACTGCATCGCATTCCATCCTTTTTATACATCTGTCTGTGACTGCTTCCACATTTGCAGGAGATGTTTATCCCATCTCTTAAGGTATCTCTCATAGATAAATTACATAGATTTTCTTGAGTTTCACTGTGGGAGAAAATAACCAAGAACACCAGTAATTTTCTTCTGCAGATTTTCCATGTTTAATAATAAGAAGCTTTATTTACAGTTCCTTCTTCTAATCATGCAGTTAGTTCTGACTGGACTATGTTCCTTATTTTAGTAATGCTAAGTTCAAATATACCAGAACATGTAGTCTAGGGTTTTTTTCAACCAAATCTGTGATAGCAATTAAAAGAGAGATAAAATTTATCTTATGGGACTTGTTCTCCTCCAGTCAATGTTGATTACCACTTTGAGGGCGGTGGTCTTAATTTTATTATTTGTGGAATGTATGTTTTTTCAGTTTAGCTAAGCTACCACCTAATGAGTGACTTTTTTCTAATACTGTCTGCATAGCTCTATGTATATATCGTGATAACAATACAAGTTTTCTGGTCTTTTAGAAACACCGCAGTGTTCTAGGCACTGTTTAACTAATATTAACAACTTGAAGATCACCTCTGTTAAGTTTTCCACGCATCTTGTGTACAAGTTATCACATCATGCCAATGTTACTACATTTCCACTATCAGGATATACATGTTGAACAGAAGGTAAGATTTGCATGAAAAACACCAAAAGGCAGAATTAGCTGGGGAAGTTAAGCTAAATAAAAGTTTGAAACTGTAATTTTGGCTCACTGCTGGGAGGAAGAGCTGGAGGAAGTTCCCTTTTTCTCTGAGATATTATTACTCCCTGGCAGATCTATACCTTTCAGCTTTGGAATTTGACTCACATTCTTTCCATCCAGAATTCCACTTCCAAACTCTCCCATTTCTTAGTGCACCTCTCTTTCTAAAAAGAAAAGAGTAAAATAAATATGGATTACTGGAAGATGCAAGAAATTGGCAGTATAGACACACCTAAAAAAGCACTTCCATGGCTGACATCTCTTCTGCTAATGTTACCAAAAAACCCTGTGTGTTACCTCTTTCCAAAGCTGAAATTGCAATGGAAACCACAGGCTTGTGAAAGGCACGTAAGATTAATATTCTCCCATTGTGGGATATGTAGAATTATACATATTTCCAAAGATACAATCAGAGAGGGAAAGCTTGAATGAAACAGAAATATAATGGCTTTCTGCAAAGAAGGAGTGCACAGGGAAAGGCACTGAAGCCCAGCAAATGTGAGTAACACCAGTGTCATTTCCACCTACAAACCATTTAAAGCACATTCACACTGAATCCAGCAGAGATGAAATAGGCAAGAGTACTCTGGACTGAGGTAGTTATTGAATCATTATATTTCCCAGTGACTCGCTCACTGGCTGAGAAGTGCAGAGCCCCAAGGAAGATGCAGCTTTCAGCATTTGGGAAGTAGCTGTTCTTCTGTGTATGGACTGCATCCTTCCTTCAATAACAATGTAGCAATACCTCAGCCACAGCTCAGACAAGTCCAGGACTTGTCACAGACCTATCCCAGCTTTGGTCTCCGGACAACTCTCTTTCATGGGCTCGTTAAGAGAATACCAAAGATGTTAGCAGAACAGGCGTCCCTTTACTATGGGCTAGGGAAATCTGAATCACCTAGAAGGAAACCCAGCATGAACACCAACAGGAGAAGCCTGAAAGAATCATTTAATTCAAGTGGTGAGTGGATTGTCTTCATGTTTTTAATAAAAAGCTGCCATTTAAGAGGAAATGTTCTCTAAGCATGGCAAAAGTGACATAAGGCCGAAAGGTAAGGAAGTTATTTATTTGGATTATAAAAGATAAAAATGACTATGTACAGATGGTCCCTGGTAATGTATTTTGCCCCCACAGAGATGATGGGCATGGGAAAGAAGCTGCTTCATTTTCTGAATCTGTGAAAAGATATTAATGAAGACATAAAAATCCAGCACAATTATATCTGTTTTGATGAGATATAGATAATGATATACAAGGATATCTGTTTATGCAGACCCAAGCCCCACCTAACATGGAAGGCAATGTAGACAATGAGATCTTGACAATCTCTCCCTATAATTTCTTACCTCTGATTTCAAAGCAAATGTCTCGCGGAGTGTCTCCCCAGGTCTGATTCTAGCAACATTAAAAAGAACTGTGAACTGCATGTCATCTTTGGTGAGTGGATCTTCATCACACACTGCCAGTTCTAAAATGTTCTGGTAGTAGAAAAAAATAAATAATAATTCTTATTGAGCTGCTATTACACAGAAACAAAAAAACAGTTATAGACTTTTGCAGCTGCTTGACAACACAGTGGTAAGAATAAAGAAACATGTGCTTCCATTTCGGAGTTTGCTAATGTGGAACACCATCATTAAACCCAACCTTGGGAAACTTATCATGAAATAGAAGACCTATAACAGAGAGCTCCCACTATCCTGAGATAGAAAAGATGTCAGTGCTCTGCACCACACTGATAACCCACCCAAGGAACACACTTAAGTTTCTTCACCCCAGAAGTTCTCTTAACTACACAGCTTAGGGTAGGATTAAATTTGTTGTCTACACCACAGCAACTCCTCTACTCTTCCCTTACAACCCGTGGAGGGAAAGCTCTTTCTAAATTTACCACCCAAAATAGCCCAAATGAAGCGTGCTACAGCAAGTGCTCATTTCTCTCAGGTGACAACAAAGGGAATCTGGACTAGCTCAGATATAGGTATTTATATCACCGATGTCTATAAGTAGCTGAGGAGAACACTGCTGCATATGTCTACTGTTTTGTGCTAACCAGTCAGTTGCAAATTCTGTTACAGAAGCATTTTCTTAAGTTATTTATCATAGTTGATCGACAGGGTGTCAACTTAGGATTCCCAGCTATTGAAAATGGTGACATTTCTATTTTTTTTACTACCTCAACTTCCCTCTGGATCCTAAAGTAGAAAGTCTCATTCCAGACAGGGTTGTCAGAATTCTTGATGGTTTTGGTCTGAAGCTTTCCATTTGAAGCAGATGGCAGCCACAAGCGCACATAGCAGTCTGATGCAGTCACTGCAGCAGAGAAAAATTAAAAACTTGATGCCAATGTTATAGATGAAAAGTAGGGCAAGGCCACAATTCTGGAGACTAACAAATATTACTACTTTTTTTTAAAATAAGTAAAGAGACCACCGGTTGGAAGCAACCAAGGAAAACCATCTAATTCCTGGGTAACTACAAATTGCAAATGTACACATGCACACACAAGTACATTAAGAGCCATATTTCCCATGTGAAGAGAAAGAGGTATAAAAGACCCCACTGACCATTCATCGGGCATATTCCCTAAAATTCCAGTCAATGATGTTAAAAAAGTTTAACCAAACCTAGAGCTAGTTCCAAAAAGGGCTGTTAGGATGATTACAGGAAAGGAGAATGCTTATTACAGAGAATATCAGAGGAGACTGGTTTGCTCAGTCTAGCAACACAAACATGCGGAGGGGACATCACGGCTGTCTTAGAAGGGTTAGGTACTAGAGAAGATCTGTTGCAGCTAAAGGCCGGTGTGGGCCCCAGAATATGAAGGCACGAGCAAGTCGGAAATCTTCATCTCGCTTCCACCCTACATCTACTCCTTATGGTTAGTGGAGTCAGTGCCTCGAGCAGCCATCCTTTGGGAAGAGGCGGGGTGGGAAAGTGCATTTACTTTGTGAAGCTGGACAACGGTGTGAAAGGAAATCTCCAAGGTGATGTCTTTCAGAGCTGGAGTCTGGACGTGACTGAAGATTTCTACTGCAGCCCGAGATGCCTAAATACTTCAGACTTGTATCAAGCAGTGAATAACATTGCCCCGCAAGGTTTTGGCACGAAAGTGGAACCGTCCCTTCAATAGAGTGGATAGAAGAGATCATTGAAACTCAGAAATACAGGCCTTGTCACACTACCACCTTTCTAGTGTCCACCTCTGGACGTTGTTCTGTGAATTTGCCACAGGAGTACAGGAAGCCCTTCGGCAGGCAGCTACTCAACCAGTGTGGGATTCATTCCCTCTGGTCTCCCTCGCATCCAGGCTTGGCCAAGGTTGTGCTCAATGAGACGCAAACGGTCTCGGCTGTAACTCAAGTAACTCACTGCAAAGTGACGCTCTTTTGGCTGAACATGTCATTTTTCACTAGAGGAATGCACAGGCCAGAGGTTTCAAGAGGGTGAGAAAAGGCAGCTCAAGGTCTCTGTCCTGACTGAGGAACCCATGGGAGACCTCTGCAAAAATGGCAGCTGAACGGCTGGTCCATAGTGCTCCTTGAAAAGGAGCCATAGGAGGCTGTGAGGGTGAGATAATGAGTTAAAGAAGGTTGAATACAAAAGTACACAGAAAAGTCTGTTTTGCCTGCATGCTCAGCATGTCCTTTGCGCTTGATCTGCAGAGGCCCTCCTTAACCAGAAACTACCAATATCTAACACAACTGGTCATCTGAGGACAGCAAATACCCTGAATGATACTGTATTTGTGAAATTCTCTAATTTACCTTTGATTATCGTGTATCATTCATACATTTCAATAAAAGGTTCCTAAATACATAGCCTGTGTGGAAAAAATCCAGTCCATAATATGATTTATACCCATTACAACCAGCAAAAGCAAAGAACTCCAAGCAGATTTACAAACTGATGTGCTCCCACAAGGGCTACCTTCCCTTATTGGTCCAGAAAATTTGTCTGGGAGTCTTGGTTTTTACCAGTTCCCTGAAATGCCACTAGGTATGTCCTCCAATCTAATGATACCTCAGGCGTTTGATCTAATTATAGCCCTGTTATTAGTACTTCTGTTGCTCTGCTTTATGTATGTTGCTTGTATACCTTCAGAACTTAGGAACATTGCTCATTGTGTAAACTCTGGAGGTGACTGAAAACACAATCAAACCCCAACTCACACAGGTCTCTTGACTTGATGTTCTTGGCTTGTATGATTCTTACTGAAAGCATGTGGATGGGGCAAAATTTCATCTGCAGAGAAAACAAACACAATTAGTTTCATCAGCTCAGAATACAAAAATCACATGTATTTTGAATAGTACAGGGGACAGTCTATCCTTGCTGTTTGTGTGTTTGAAGTGAGGGGACCTCCCTCCAGTGGAAGTACACCACGCTCAGGTGATAGCAGGATTGCGCACGAGGCCATTTGCTAAGTAGCTTGAGTAAGTGAAGACAGAGAAAGAAAACACAGACTCAGGCAATGGTATGGAAAGCTTTTGTTATCACCCTAGAGGTGCCTGTTTTCACACAACCTGACGTATGCGTGGCCACGGTGACGGTTGTATTGCCAATCTGCCGGGGGTCCTGTGCCACAGGTGGGTCAATGCTGGGCCTTTGGAAGGCAACACTAGGAACTCATAGCTGCCTCCCTGGGTCCTGGCACAGCGCCGGCACTGGGCCAGGACATGGCAGTTACCACAGCGCTTTAAACCAGCACTAAATTTTCAC